CCCAGCAGACACACAACGTCATAAGACATTAGTTTTAGGTTAGATTTCGGTCGGCAGCGTCCAAGGACAATGTTATTTTCACGTCCAATAAAGACATGAAGTGAAATTGATTTCTGGCTGATTTTAGGTCGTGTTGGACAGTGACCAAAATCTAACATCGAGCCAACATCTTAAACCAACGTCATATTGACATCAATTCTGACATTTTATTGGTCAGGCAATGGCAACCAAAATCCATCGTCTGACAGACGTCATCGTGGTAACATCCACACAACATCAAGCTGTAACATCATTAGACGTTGATATTTTGTTGTTTTTAGGTTACGTTGGAAAGTAACCAAAATGTAACATTGTCCAACGTTGGCTTCAAAATAAAATAAAATGTCCCACAATGTTGGGGTACAACATCAATTTGACGTCTTCTTGATGTCCTATGCTTGTTGGGTTTGGTCAGTGTTGGCTGTAGTAAGCTGCTGTATAAATAAAGATAGATTGATTGATTGATAGATTGATTGATTGATTGATTGATTGATTGATTGATTGATTGATTGATTGATTGATTGATTGATTGATCATACACCTCGTACTCACCCCGTACTTGTTCCAAACCTGTTAGACTTTCTTTCTACTGTTAAACACAGACAAAGATATTCTGAAGAAAGCTGTAAACCTGTAACCACTGATTTCCATGGTATGTGTTTCCTATAGGTTGCAGATTTGCAGTTTTCTTCAGAATATCTCCTTTTGTGTTTAACAGAAGAAACAAACTCATGAAGGTTTCTTTCTTCTGTTGAACACACAAAAGATATTATCAACCCCCCCCAAAAAAAATTAAATAAATAAAAACTGTTTAGGAACAAATCAAGCATGAGGAGACCTAAATCGTGTCAGAATTTTCACTTTTGTGTGGACTATCCTATATCCTATATTCTGTTGAACACACAAAAGATATTTTGAATAAAAGCTGAAAACTTGTAACCATTGACTTCCATATGATTTCTTTTTCTTTTAACAGAAGTCAATGATTACCGGTTTTCAGTTTTTTTTTTAAATATCTTCCTTTGAGTTCAACATTAAAAACAAAAACAAAACAACAACAACAACAAAAAAAACATTAAACTGGTTTGGAACAAATCAACCATGAGTAGGCCTAAATGATGGCAGAATTTTCACTTGGGTGAACTATCCTGTGCATAGCTTTGTGAAATCATTTTCAAGCTCAAACAGAAAGAATTTAAGACTAAGAGAAGAGTTTGTTGATGCACAAAGGCAGTAACGAATTGAATTGGATTGTTTCCAAATAAAATTTCCTCATTTCTGTTTCACAAGACTTTGATTATGCAAACCAGATCTATAGATGACTTAACAAGGTGAATTCTACCTAGTAGAAATGATAAAGTGATAGTTCATATAAAAATTAAAAACACTTGAATTATTTACCCAGCCGCGACTTGATCCAACCCAGTTTGACTTTCTTTCTTCTGTTGAACACACAAAACATATTTTGAAAAAAGATGAAAACCGGTAACCATTGACTTTTACATTGCTTTCAATTGAAGTCAATAGTTACCTATTTTTAGCTTTTTTCAAAATATGTTGAAAAACCCCCCCAAAAAAAAATAAAAAAAAAAAATAAATAAAAACTAAAACTGGTTTGGAGTAAGTCAGAGATATAGGCCTAAATGACGGCAGAATTTTCACTTTTGGATGAACTATCCTTTGCATAGCTTTGTGAAATCTTTTCAAGCTCAAACAGAGAGAATTTAAGAATTTGAGTATAAGAGAAGAGTTTGTTGATGCACAAAGGCAGAAGCGAATTGGATTGCTTTAAAATAATTTTCCTCATTTCTGTTTCTCGAGACTTTGATTATGCAAACCAGGTCTATAGATGACTAGACAAGGTGAACTTTACGTACCTATAGAAATGGTAAAGTGATTGTTCACCTAAAAATAAAAACACTTTCATTATTTACCCAGCCGCGACTTGATTCAAAGCAGTTTCACTTTCTTTCTACTTTTGAACACACAAAAGATATTTTGAAAAAAAGCTGAAAACCTGTAACCATTGACTTATTTACTTTTCTTTTAATGGAAGTCAAAAGTTACCGGTTTTCTTTCTTTTTTTTTTTTTTTCAAAATACCTTCTTTTGAGTTCATCATAACCCCAATAAATTAAATAAAACCTCAAACTGGTTTGGAATAAGTCAAGGATGAGTAGGCCTAAATGATGACAGGATTTTCACTTTTAGGTGAACTATCGTGTGCATAGCTTTGTGAAATCTTTTTCAAGCTCAAACAGAAAAGAATTGAAGAAGAGTTTGTTGATGCAAAAAGGCAGAAGTGAATTGGATTGGATTGCTTCCAAATTAATTTTTCTCATTTCTGTTTCTCAAGACTTTGATTATGCAAACCAGATCTATAGATGACCTAACAAGGTGAACTTTACATTCAGTGATAGTTCACCTAAAGATGAGAACACTTGCATTATTTACCCAGCCGCGACTTGATCCAAACCAGTTTGACTTTCTTTTTTCTGTTGAACACACAAAAGATATTTAGAAAAAAAGGTGAAAACTTGTAACCATTGACTTCCATAATATTTACTTTGCTTTCAATGGAATTCAATGGTTACCGGTTTTCAACCTTTTTTCAAAATATCTCTTATTGAGTTTAACATAACCCCAATAAATTAAATAAAACCTCAAACTAGTTTGGAATAAGTCAAGGATGAGGAGACCTAATGATGACAGAATTTTCATATTCAGTGAACTACTTTAAGCTTTGTATTTTATTATCACATGTAGAACAAAAACATTTAGCATGTTGTCTATTTTAGTGGTGTCTACAGCAGCAAACTTTATTTTTGTGAGTTTATTTGTGTGTGCAGGATGTTGTAATGTTTTTCAGGGTTGTGTCCTGTGAAAAAGGAAAACAGGTTGCTTCACTTCTCTGTATGTTTGTGGAGGGGAAGTGGAGACTTGAAATCATTATTTTGCAACATCGAGTATAATGTACAGGTCTGAGATGCTTCTTTTTTCTGAAATAACTTTATTTACACATCATAGTTTGCTTTTTACATTACAGTATTATAGAGTAAGAAGTAAAATAGGGGAAAAAACATGTATTATTCCACCAATTGATGTTATTCCACCAATTAATTACTTGATCCAAAAGTGACAGTTAATACAATTATAATACTATAAAGGATTTTTAATTCAAAATAAAAACATGTTCTTTAATCTTGCTGTTTATCATGCTAAATGTATAATGGCTTTTGCAACAGTATTATGCAGCCGTTTTAATAATAGTAATAATAATAATAATGTATTTTATTTGAATGCACCTTTAAAGACACTCAATGACACCACTGAAAATGTCAACATTGAAAACAATGAAAAGGTTTTTTATTTAGATTTTAGCAGCAGATCATCACATTAGACTGACAAATCAGCTTTGCATCACAGGAATGTCCCCCAAACATGTTAATCTATAAGAAATGCAGGGAAAATCATAAAATAAAAAGACACTCTTCCACCTGTTACTCATTTGTGAACCTGACAGCTCTGCAGAGTGTTTTTCAGATCATTTTGATACGGACCCACAACCTTCAGAGCATGCTCTTGGCAGGTCACCTCAAACCAAAAAAAAAAAAAAACCTTTCGAAGATCATTATCATTAGGAAAGTAAAGCTACAGGAAGTTTGAGGTACACTCTTGCTTATACCTGGTAATAAGGATATTTTATGAAATACAGAATTTCATTGACATTTAAGAATCTCTATTACAGAAACGGTGGAAAATTCTGCATTTGCTCAGCCTAATGACACATGCTAAACTATTTCATTATTAGAAACAAAATACTTTTCGAACACTGTGATAGAGTGTTTGATAGAGTGGTTTTTCAGTCTCATCAAGAAGCATCAATATTTATGTTGCACTTAATCAAACTATAGATATGAATTACAATATTTTTTACTTTAAATGCCATTTTCTCCAAATTAATCGTAACTCTCCAGTTCAGCAGCGCTTTCATATAACAAAGTTTTATTCTGAAGATTGTTTTTACAGAAGGATAAGTTCATCGTACATGATTTTATTTTATAAAAAGTTTAATTCTACAAAAAAAGAGTAAAAAGTAACTTTATGCTCATGTTCACACATACACACACACACACACACACACACACACACACACACACACGCACACACACACACACACACACAATGTAATTAAGCAACAAGGGTAGCATGGTCATATTAGTTAATTTTTTTAACCCTAATTTAAATTAACCCAACTGATTCTAACCTAACCCTAATCCAAACCTAATCCTAACCCTAACCTAATTTAACCCTAATCTAACCCTAACCCTAACCTAATATAACCTAATTTAACCATAATCTAACCCTAACCTAGTCTAACCTAACTTAAACCTAATCTAACCCATACCTAACCCTAACCCAACCCTAATCCTAACCTAATCTAACCTAACTCAACCCACCCCAACCCTAATCCTAACCTAATCTAATTTATCTTAACCTTAATCTAACCTAACCCTAACCTAACCCAACCTTATCCTAACCCAACCCAAACCAACCCTAATCCTAACCTAACTCAACTCAACTCAACTCAACTCAACTCAACCCAACCTAACCCAACCTAACCCAACCCAACCCAACCCAACCCTAATCCTAACCCTAACCTAGTGTAAATTATCTTAACCCTAATCTAACCCTAACCTAAACCAACTCTATCCTAACTCAACCCAACACTAATCCTAACCTAATGTAATCTAATCTAATCTAACCTAACCATATCTAACCTAACCCTAATTCAACTTAACCTAACTTAATTCTAACCTAAACCTAACTTAACCGTACCTAACTCTAACCTGATCTAATCTAACTTAACCCTAATCTAATATATACTAATCTAACCTAACCTAAACTAACCTAATCTATCCTAATTTAACCTAACCTAACCTAACCCTAACCTACTCTACCCTACCCTCACACTAATCCTAATCCTAACCTTTAAACCTACCACACCTGCCATGTCTTCACATGTTTATTAAAGCCTGTTCACATTTAATTGACTACAGCGTCACTGACATTTGCCGAGTGCTTCCAGAGCTCTGAAAGGATCCCGCTCCATATCTGGACAGCATGTTTCTCCCAAACAGGCCTTTCTTAAAGAGAGAAATCAGCAACTGGTTACGAAATTTCTTCCCGATGAAGGCGTACAGGATGGGGTTTATTGCGCAGTGTGCGAACGCCATCACCTGCGTCGCATACAAAGCCACGTCTATGTTGTCTCTCAGCTGGCATGTTTCCTCCACCTGTCCGGCTCGCATCAGGATGTCTGTGAACTCTATGATGTTATGAGGCAACCAGCAGATGATAAAAGCCAGCACCACGCTCAAGATGACCCGCATGGCCTTCTGCTTTTGGCTGTTGCGCGTGTGACATAAAGTGAACATGGTGAAACCGTAGCAGAACATCATCACGGTGAGCGGCAGGAAGAATCCCAGAGTATGACGGATAATGCGAAGGCTCATCCTCCAGCTGTCGGTGCTCTCCGCAGTCACATTGTCCTCACATATATACTCCACACCATCATACGTGATCGCTTCACGGTGCACCATAACCGGAAGAGATAAGAGGGCGGCGCACAGCCACACCAACGCACACACAAACCCAATCAGATGGAGCTTTCGGTTGAGGAATTGCGTTGCTTTTACGATGGCCATGTAGCGGTCGATGCTAATGCAGGCTAGCATGAAAACGCTGCAGTAAAATGTGACCTCCTGCACACCAGAGATCATTTTGCACATGATGGTGCCGAACGGCCAGTGACCGGCGTGGAGGTACGCCACCCAGAAGGGGAGAGTGAGGGAAAAAAGCAGGTCAGCCACAGCCAGGTGCATCAGGTAAAGGTCGGTGGACGTCCTGCGGTTGTCCATGAAGAAAACCACAAATATGACCACGGTGTTTCCCAGCAAGCTCAGGCAAAAGACTATGATGTAGATTACAACCAAAACCGTGCTGTTGAGGTTCTTCACGGTCTCCGGGCAAGGAGTCATAAGGGTAAATGGGAACTCTGTAGTAGCAGTTTCCATGTTTATAAGGAGATCGACTGGCAGCTGTGGAGGGAGAAACACTTTATTATAAGAAGGATCTTTAGATGAAGAAATCTTCTAAATAAATTTTTTTTCTTCTAGTGCACCTCAGAAATTCAGGACCTCGGTTTAACATCTCATCCGAAAGATGTGGCACACTGAGCAGTATAGAGTCCCCATCAATATATTGGGGCATCAGGACCTACACCACAGACCACAGGTTAAGCGCCCCCTGCTAGCCTCACTAAACCACTTCCAGCAGGCAACCTAGATTTCCCATGCGGTCTTCCTTCCAGATACTGACCGGACACAGTCCTGCTTAGCTTCAGTGGACATCTCGTATATAAGCGCTGCATTTTTAATACACTGTATCGAGCTAAAAGAATTGAAACTTTTACACGCAGCGCCAAAAGCAGTTCCAAAGCAGTCGACCAATCAGAAGAACTTGGAGGCAGGGCAAGCATTGCAAACTTTTGTTTAAGGGTGATTTCACACCTGTGAATCGATTCAGTTGTTCCGAAACAGAGATTACAATTGTTACATTGTTGCTCTTTGCTCTTGGAGCGGTTCACTTTCATACTGCAAAGTTTCTAATCGGACCAAAAGAGCTAAAACAAGTTATGTGCGCGTAAACTCTCCTCACATTGGTCAGAGTGTCAGGGTTTATTTTGAGATTACCGGGAGATCATCACTCGTTTGCGGGCATCCGGAGACTCGCGAAATTTCCCGCCATACTCATAATTCTCTCTTCATTTAGCCGTATGCCTATTACATATCCATAAAACACTGTGATATAACCGCGCTCGGATCGGATCGCTTTCTCACTGCAATCGAACCGCTCCAGGGTTCGTTTCAATCGAGCCGAGACCACCTCATTCAAGCGATCTCGGATCGATTACTTTGGCGCAGAACAGAGCGCGATTGCCCTGTTCACATATGCCAAACAAACTGCGCTAACTGGGCAAACGAGACAGGTTCCGAAACAAAAGTGTAGGTGTGAAAGCACCCTTAGTCTCACTTTATTTTAGCATTCTACAGCACAGCATTGCCCTCAGGCAACAGAAAGTTTTCTTAAGACTCGTGCTGAGCACAGATTTTTTTTAATGATTGCAACCAATTAAAATGTTAGAAAAAGTGTCAATAAAACATCCAATAAGGTGTGGGAGTCACTATCTAGCACCGTTTGAAGGTGGAACTTCATTTTCTGACTCATGGTGACAGGAGCGCATGGTATGAGAAGAAGTTAAGATTATCTGCCTAATTAATCTCATTTAAAGTAGCATAAATGTCAGAAAAATGTGTGTTTGTGAAGTTGTAGAGAAGCCAGGATAGAGCATGTCTTTGGCAGAAATGCCAACTGACCCAGCTGGGGCTCGAACCAGCAACATTCTTACTGTAAGGCGATCGTGCTACCCTCTGCGCCACCGTAATGCTTTTTTTTTTCAAAGAGTTTTTTCTTTTTTTGTGTGTGTGTGTGATTTCATTGCTCTTGCACTTTTAGTATTGCCACATTGCCACATTGCCAGATCAGCCACATTGCTTGTTTTAAGGAAAAAAACTCACTTAGTTTTGACTTAATATTTGTGAAAAAAAAAAAAATTTTGTACTTATCCAGAAAATGAATCTTTGACCCAAGAGATTTTTAGATATTTAGATTAAACAATACAATAAGTAAGAAAAGCTTTTTTTTTTTTTTTTTTTTTTGCAGTTTGTGCACCCAAAAAGTGGACAAAGTGAGCTGCTTGTAAACCCTAATGTTGTCTTTACTTAAACAATCAAGTAAAGTTGACCGAACATTGCTTAAAATTTTGCATTTTGGTCCTGTCACCTAAAAATATGAGTTAATTTAACTTATATACAATGAAAATGCATAAACTTAAGATTTCAAGTGTAGAAAGCTCAACATCACAATTAATCCTTTGAAAAAAAATAGGTTGTTTTCAATGTAGTCTTGACTGTAAAATTCTAATATGTGAAACCTTTTAGTGCAAGGTCTTTTTTTAATTAGAAAACAAGGCTTCATGCATATTTATTCATCACAATTGTAATAAATCGCTACTTATTTTTCTTTTAAAAAAATTGAGGTATATAATTACACACATAGACACACATACTGAACTGAACAATTTAAGTATAATCTACCAAACCAGCAAGTTAAGTAAACTTAAATATGCAAGTTTTGGGAGATTCCGTTACTCAATTAAATTGAGGAAACGAGTTTACTCAATTAATTTAGTTTAGTCAACTTATTAGGGTTTTCAGTGTAGTAAAATTATTCTTGTTACATAATTTGATGAACTTTGTGATGTTAATTAAATAAACAGAATCAACAAAGTGCTTAAAAACGACACCAATCATCTGCAGAACTGCTTTATAACCAATGGAATTTGCAACATGCACAATGCAATGAATTTGAATAAATCCTGAATTAAATTACCCTGAGTAAGTTGCCTTAAATTGCTTTCATTTCAAGATGCAAAATTAATAATGCAATTTGCTTTTGACCTGTCCATATTTCATACCACTCTACATAAATTAATATATAGTATATAAATAAATGCATGCATATAAAAGAATTCTCAAAAATAAATCACATTAAGTGAAACGTTAAAGATTTATTTCACTCACCGTTTTATCTTCTGTGATTTTCCTGAGATTACCAGCATTCAGGTCTGTCTATGGGGGGTTTACAGCAAAATTCAGAAGAAGCTATTCACTTACTGACTGATTTCTGTCAGTTTTCTGTCTTTCTTGAACGATTGGTTATTAGTCTGGTGGCCCTTTCCTTCCTGTATGAATAATCAAAAATGAGATAATATCAGTAGCAAAGTTTCACAAGACGGCAAAAAAAAGAAACAGCTGTAGGTGTGTTGTCAGATATACAGAGAACTTGATAATGCTTGCGTCTGCAGAACAATGCAGTGTGAAAAACAAATAGCTTACAGTAATGGAGAGTGGGGACGAAAAGGATCAAATGTTTTTTTTTAGTTTTTTTTTTTAGATAAAATGTTTTTATGACATTCATGACAATATATTTTGGTTACTAAACTGTAAAAAATATTTGTCGATAAGCAGTTTTCTTTATTTTGTGATTGATGGTTTATTTTATTTTCCCCTGTTTATTTTATGGTACCTTGATCTTTCTTGCAAACACTTTTAACCTTAAACAGTTTGAAAAAGTGACTTTTATTGAAAATGTCAATAATTGAGTGTACAGCATAAACTGAGTGAATAAATTAACTGTATAAATAAACTGAGTATATATGCATACATACATACATACATACATACATACATACATACATACATACATACATACATACATACATAGATACATACATACATACATACATACATACATATGCCAGCCACTTTATTAGGAACACCTGTCCAACAGCTTGTTAACGCAAATTTCTAATCAGCCAATCACATGGCAGCAACTCAATGCATTTAGGCATGTAGACATGGTCAAGACGAACTGATGCAGTTCAAACTGAGCATCAGAATGGGGAAGAAAGGTGATTTAAGTGACTTTGAATGTGGCATTATTGTTGGTGCCAGACGGAATGGTCTGAGTATTTCAGAAACTGCTGATCTACTGGGATTTTCACACACAACCATCTCTAGGGTTTACAGAGAATGGTCCGAAAAAGAGAAAATATCCAGTGAGCGACAGTTCTGTGGGCGCAAATGCCTTGTTGATGCCAGAGGTCAGAGGAGAATGGCACATGAGAACCATTTCAGCATCGTGCCAATGCCACAGCCTACCTGAGTATTGTTCCGGCACCTCATTTGCAGCTCTGCACAAGACGTTTGGCCATGAGAGAAATGTTTTTGCTCAACTGATGTCTATCCCTTTATGACCACAGTGTACCCATCTTCTAATGGCTACTTCCAGCAGGATAATGCGCCATGTCATAAAGCATGGATAATCTTAGAATGCTTTCTTAAACAATGAATTCACTGTGTTGAAATGGCCTCCACAGTCACCAGATCTCAATCCAATAAAGCACCTTTGGAATGTGGTGGAATAGGAGATTGGCATCATGGATGTGCAGCCCACAAATCTGCAGCAACTGTGTGATGTTATCATGTCAACACATGGAGCAAAATCTCAGGAATATTTCCAGTACCTTATTGAATCTCTGCCACAAAGGATTAGGGCAGTTCTGAAGGCAAAAGGGGCTCCAACCCGCTACCAGTATGGTTTACATATAGAGGTCGGTGAGTGTATATCTCATGATATATATGCATAATGCAAGTAAACTCTTCTAAAGAACACATAATGTTTTAATATTAAGAATATTTCATTTAGTTATGTTCATTAACATTTAGACATTAGAATCAGAATGTGAAAATGTGTATCCTAAATAAATAATAATAATAAATGTTCACAAAAAAGTGCAAGGTAAAGAGTGACAGAAGATGTGATATCTGTTTCCATATCTACTTTCAGCTGTCAGGCACCCATTTGAGAATGTATTATTGTAACTTATAGTTAATACTCTGACACTGACACCTCTAATTGTCAGGATCCAGCCCTTACAGCCCTGTCACTCCTGTCTGTGTTTAATGTCTCTTTGTTTGTTTTGTGTATTAGCACATGGTTGTCTCTTTTGTTGTGTTGGCCATGTGCTCCTCTTGTCCTGCCTCCTTGTTTTCTTATGCCTCGCCCCCTTGTTTAGTCCTTGTTTGTCTAATTATGTTCACCTGTTCCTTGTGCTATCTACTCCCTTTATATTGAGTTCATTTTCCACTTGTCTTTGCCGGTTTGTCATACTATCTTTCGTGTGCTTGTCTAGCTTATCTTGTTTAGTGCATGATAGAGTTTTTTTTTTTTATAGTCTAGTATTGTTTCCTTTGTCTAGTCTAGTCCAAGTCTTTTTGATCTTTATCTTGAAATAATTTAATCCTTTTGATTTGGTTAATTTATTTATCACTTTTCTATCAATAAGGTTGCTATCATTATCAACTTTATTTCTGTTTGCAGCTAAAGACTAATTTCAAGTTTTCATTTTTCTATTTTTGTGATCCTTAGCCTCCGTCTAGCCCTAGTCTTTAGTTAATTCTTTATTTTCTAAATTCCTG